AAAGACTAGACGTTTCGGAGTCTTCACGTCAGTGTCACTCATCTGTTTGAAGGCAAGTAAATGCCCTACGGGGTAAAGTTCAAAGCCCAGGGCAGAGAACTCCAGACACTTGTCGAGCTGGCACCTGGGCCTCAGCAGCTCCCCCCTCGCTCCCCCCGCCGCCCTGCACCTCTCTGCACTCCCAGAACAAGCTGGGCCTGTCCACGTGCCAGCACCTTCCACCCATCCCGGCTCCCCGCTGGCCTGCCTCGGTCCTCACCCAGCTTCTGCGCCAGTCCTGACTTTCCCCGACGCCACTGCCCCCCTCCCCATGCCTCAGAAGAATGTGCCCTTACGTCTTTACAACAAAGACCTATTTTATAAATACTTCGAAGGTTTGTCTCCCTCACGCTCCCTTGTTTGTGTCACCCCTGGCACTGCGTTTGCAACTCTGTGCTACTGCTTATACACGTGCATACTGAACGAATGGACAGACGGGTGAAGGCAGGAAGGAAGGACTGACCTAGGAAGCAGGGTTTTCTCAGATGGAGGCTTCTGAGAGGAGCTAAATCTGCGTGTGGAACTTCAAGGGAAACGATCGTATCTGATCCGCGCAGGGGGTGATGTGTGCCTGGCTGAGAGGCAGCCTCCCTCCCTAACCTGCTGTTCAAGGATTGCCATGGACGGTTCCCTACATCTTCTGTTGACTGTAAATAGCCAACCCCGGTGGGGAAAATCCCTCTGCAGAGTCCTGCCGGCTCAGTTCAACACCAAACAAAAGTGACAGAACACAGCTCTTTCTGTCGTAAGCAGAAATAGTTAATGCCGTGGGAAATCACGATAAGACAAAATCCTGCCTTTATGGACAAACAATGGAAGCCCGCTTCATAAGACCACCCATGGTCCCAGAGAAAGTGGTTTTGAGAATTCAAGTCTTTCGGAGAGGCTAATGTGAAAGCAGCCATAAATCACACTGATTCAAATGCCTCTGGTGGTTTATGGACAGACCTGACCCTGATCTGCTTGATCCCTACAGGAGATGCCCTGTGACCTTCCTCGGGCTGAAATGTGACATAACCACCATCACGGTGAGCTGTTGACTTCATTCTGTATAATTACATGTCTAGAATCACTTACTAGGTCACACTGAAGTTTCTTAGGTGTTCTAGAAGGTTTGGGGAATCCTCAGTGTTGTTTAGTTTCAACCTGACTGATAAATTTAAGCTGCCTATGCCGAATCCGTTTTAAGAAAATCAGACAATACCTTCTCAAGTTAAAATGGGACAAAGTCAGAACAACAACCAGCCAGCTGCAAAGAGACCTTCATTATAGTGATGACAGTGAAAATAAGTTGTTTGTGTGGCTACAAGATCCTTCAGACCTCCTGTTAGAACCTCACAAGCTTTGAGTTGCTTTTCTCAGAGAGTTGAGGGCACCCACGAGCTCAACCAGCACGCGTGGATACAGGAAACGTCTACATGAGCCAAGGAGCTGGTGTGCGGGTGGCGGTATGGAAGAGGGACAGCAGCTAATGTCCTTCCCTCAGGGAATCTGTAGTGTCGTTTAACACCACGGACTAACCAGCGGAGAGAATATGGCGTCACTTTCAAATAACCTAATTTTTTCCAGGAAGTTTAAAGTCCTCTCTCAAAATCTAATAATAGCTTTAAAAGCTTTACTGAAGGGAAGGAAGGTCAGAAGCTGGGAAGGCAAAACGAAACTCTCACAGTGACCGATGTTGCTCTGTGGGAGTTTAGTCCACTCCTCTGCAGGAAAACAGTCTACTGACCTCTGGAAAGAATGAGTATAAAACTTCTCCTTTATTTTTCCCCTATTTATGTCAGGAAATGAAGGAGGCAAAAGAAGAGATCGTAATAAAATCTTGATGCCAAAGCTTCTCAAATAACTCAGAGCATTCTTCAGTAGTCTGACATGCCTGAGAAATAGAACCAGGTCACCAGGAAGGATTTCAAATCTCCCTCATGACCTTTGAGGGGCCAGGGAGGGAGCGTTACACTGGAAGGATCAGAACTTAGGGAGACCCCCACGCGGAGAGCAAGAGGGGAAAACAAATTTGTATTCCCATCACTTTTTTTTTTTTTTTTACTGGACATGTCAGTATGAATGAATACCAGATAACAATTTTATTCACATATAAAAAAGGGTATTACAAAAGTATTTGTGTAAGAAAATGAAAATTTACAAATTTGTAAATTCCAGTATGCAAAATAGTAATGATGAAATCTAAATTGATTCAAGCTGGCGACCTTCAAGCAATGACAGACTCTCTTCTTTTTTCTTTTTTTTTTTTTCTTTTTTTTTTACTAGCACAGACAGTAGAGCTTAACCAGATAATAGCAACACGAACACTTTATCTAGAGTACAAAAATCTATACTGGAAAAATATATTCCATATACACAAAATGAGAAAACCCATGCCTTTACATGGTTGTTCCCCAAATCCTCGTCTCATTCTTGTTGGTGGGTTTCTGCACCATTAGACGTCACACCGATTCTCACTCCCAGTCTCATTACCCGATGATGATTTCCCAGCACCCACGTGGGGAATCCATGTGGGTGCTAGAGGGATATTCCGACTGTGGGAAACGCAGACGGGATTTTCCTCTCAAGTGTTTACCCAAAGTATAGAAGAACCTAGCATTATTGTATGTTTCTGTAGTCACTGGTGGTCAAGTGTCTTCATCTTGATAAAATAACCCAGGATTTTCCGAATGCAGCATCAGATGAAATTGACGTTTAACCCTCAGTATTTCCCTACTGATCAAAAGTCATGTTTCAGGGTTTGGGGGCCACAGTCTCATTCCCATCGATCCAGCCTTCTCTCCAGCAACTATACGTCTTTGAAGTCGAGGAGGGTTTCTACATGTGGAAAATATATTCAGGTCACCAGAAGGAGCACAACCCTGGCCTACTTTGATCATCCCTCTGTCAAAACAGAACGATCAGATTGCAAACAATGGCACACACATGCGAATTACAGGGAAACCACTCAAGGAAACTCCAGTGTGCATTTTCATGGACATCTTGTGGTCAAATCCTAAATATTGTACATGACTTTCCTGAAGCAACTCTCATCAGAGCTGGTGAGTTAATCAAAGTTGAAAAACCATTGGTTCATGCTACAAAAAAAAAAAAAAAAAAAAAAAAAAAAAAAAAAGAGGAAAAGCCAATCAGTTATGGCTGGGTATTAAATAGACGCAGAAGGCTATGGGTTACCCTGAGACGACTCCAATTTCTTATTTTGGATAAAGGAACCGAGGTCACGAGAATCCACACACGTTTGAACCTAAAACTGCAGCTAGATAACCTAGCCCAGCCACGAGGAAGAGGACTCATTAGATTTTCCTAAATACCCTGCAAAGAGTGGAAACACAGTTTCAAGAAGTGAGAAGATAAGTATGTCCTAAGATTTTTTTTTTTTTTTAATGCAGTTTAAACGTTAGGTAAAAGACACTGCTTTGGTTGGGGCAGTTGTGAAACAGAAGAATTTTAGTGCACTCAAACGCAATGCTGTTCTGTTTCTCTTTTAAGTGCAAGTGTGACAGAGCCAACGGTAATCAGTGAAAAGACAAAGGCCAGAGCTGATCATGCAGGTTCAAGTAGGAAACAAATCAATCCTCTTCTGGTAATTCCTCCCCAGGGCACGAAGAGTAACAGCAAACGAGCCATCCCCTGGTTCGTGACTGAACTGGGTTCATTTCTATCTTAGCTGTAGAGAGAATTCTGGTGTGTAACTACCAAGCAGGTGAGGGATGGGGTGCCAGAATGAAGCACTTACACCCAGCCTCAGTGGCTGAGATAGGAGATCACGGTGGGAACGAAACGTACACGGTCGGAGGGAGCACCGTCGTACTTGGCCAGACTGCCTAAGGGGAATCACCAACTGTTCACCTATATGCCGTCTACAAATTGTGCTTTTTCTTTTTGTTCTACTAGGTAGTGCAGTCTCACGGGACTACCCGCACGGTGTTCCATCTTGGCGGCAGGGGAACCTGACATGTAGTTTCTAAAGCCCTTCGTGTCAGACAGGATGCGAAACAAACAAACAAAACCACAACCCAACTCACAGGTGCAGAGAACAGACTGGTGGTTGTCAGAGGCAGGACACTGGCGGGTGAGGAGGATGGGAAGGAAAAAAAAAGAACATTATCTTTACAAATACCACTTTTGTGTAAAGGACAGCTTCTGCATCTTTTGAGCCCAGTCACAGGGACAGAAGTAACAAATGCTTCCGATCGACTGATTTCCGCAGAAGTATGTTAATCAGTGCACACAGGTCTCTAGGATAGATGTGCTCAGTGGTTTGCAAGGCGGGTAATCAGTGAAAAGACCACGTTCCCAGCCCGGGCCCTCTCGATACTGGGTCTAGCAGGGCTCCAGAGACCAGTGGCCGAGGTTACTCGTGTCGACTCCAGCAAAGACTTGCTCTCCTCTGATTCCTAGTCGGGCCAGTTCACTTCACCTAACAGACCCATGATGTAGGCAGGTGGCGTGCAAGTCCGTTCTTACCTCCTAAACTAATCAGACGACGGAAACGTGAGCTTCCTCAGATACACGCGCTCAGTTTGGAACCACTCTCCATAAAAACTAAGGAAACCAATCCGACGTTGACTTTTAACAGGATCAGCGGCTATATGAAATTATTTCTGGAGAGCAAACGTCAGCGAAAACTTACACCCTGGGTCTTCAGTCTGGTAAGACCACATTCGCCATGCAAATACGCATGAATGCACTTCTGTTTCTTGTTACATGCTCATAATCTCGTAGGCTGCAAACTCAACCCATCAGTCTTTGAAGTCTCGCTTGTGGCATAGAAGCTTCTTGTTCAGGAAAGATGCAAAGTATCGTGAGTGCCTGGAGTCTTTGCTTGTTATTCCTTGACGTTTCAGCTTACAGCTGGTCTGGCTCAGAAGCAACTGGTTGAAAGGCTTAAAACGCCATCAGTTTGGTTCAGATTTATTTTCTTTCCCCCCAGAAGCCATGCAAGGTCCAGACAGTGCTCAGTCCATAAGCCCAAGCGGAGGAGTAAGTGCCTGCTGGGTTCCATCCGTATTCTTCTCCTGCAGAAAGAAGCAAGTCCTTTAAGCTTCCCAAAACAGCAACAGAAGGAGAGCTTGAAAAACAACCTCACGAACAAAAGCTGCTAAACTGGAATCATTCAAAATTATTGTACGTGACTTTTAACTAGGAGTACACATGAACTTAACAACATATAGACAAGCAGCTCATTCATGGTGTCTGAATATCCGGGTATCCACGTATTCTGAGAATACAGTAAAGATTTTATAACAACTCACAGCCCCTCAGCATTTGCAAACAACACTGCAGAGGCGATCATGTGACCCACAGCCAACAACATGTATTAACACGTGATTCTTTGGCTGATTTCCAACCCCATTCAAATATTTAAAGTTTGTTTCTGTGTTGTGTTCTTGTAAAGCATTTGTAGGTAAAGATGTTAGGATCTGTTAGTCCCTTCTTTAAAAGAACAAAGATGATTAGTGAATAGTGACATTCTTCTTCTTTGCATTTAAAACTTCTGCTAAACCACTGGAGAAAGTTTAGAGATGGTTTAGAAAGGATTCCTCTAGAGATCCTCAGCAAAGTGGCACCCTTAGATCTGTCCCTTATCACAGAAGGGCAGCGACCTGACTTCTGGAGGGATTGGCCAACTGCACTTTACTGCAGTGGATAAAACCTTCCTTTTATGCTGTAACCTTTCATTCACTTATTTACCACTATTTTGGCATTGGTGACCTATCGGGTACGTTTACAGGAGAACATTTTTTCCCCTGAGTTGAAGGACAGTACCTACATATAGAAACTTCTGAAAGAACTCTTAATAATATGAGATCGTTTCATCAAATATATCTATCAGTTAATATGACAGTAAGAACCACATTAACACTATTGTGGGAGACAAATGTTAGTCATTTTGCCAATACGGAAAAAAAAAAGTTTAAAAGATTGAGCAGCCAGATCGTAGGTCATATCTTTTTTTTTTTTTTTTAACCACTCCTCCTATTATTTTATGTTGACATTTCCAATGATGGCTAAAAACATCACCCCCAAAAAAGCTTTTCCTGTAGGTAAACAGCCTGGCCTCATGCTCCCAAGTATCCTAGCAACTGATGTCCCAAATATCTTAGTCTGTTCCTCTTCTGGGGAGGTGTGTTTGGGAAAATTTGATTAGAATTGAGTCATTCAGACTCAAGAAGGTTCTCACACCTATTTACTTTATCCTGCACCGTAACTATCATCATCAGATTCTGGGTGGTCTTAAACCAGCCACAAGAAAGCTACTGTGTAAAAGTACAGTTTTTGGAAACAAATGCATCATGCCTTAGCAATCTGAGCCTCACACCAAGCAAAGACAAAAGTGCCACTGTGCATTCTGTGGTATAGACGTGTATCCAATGGTCACGTCGCAGGTCTTAACTTCCACAATGTTAAGTGTCAATTACATCTCAAGCTGAAGCAAAGGGGAGAACTGAGGCTAAAAAACTGAAAATATGAGTGAATTCCTAGATAAGAATTTCAAGTTCCATTGAAAAGATATAGAAATAAATCACTAAAAGGGGGGAGGCTATAATGGCTACGGCTGTCCTTACGCGTTTTCCAAACAGGAATGCCGCGCTTTGCTGGATTACGAATGAGCCCATGGGCTCAAGGTGTTCAGTCAAGCTGACTAAACACAAACTCAAGGAACCGGAAGTCCTCTGGTTCATAATACCAAGCTGCTGAACGAAAATTCTTTATGTGAAGTAAGTATGTTCCCTACCTTGGAGAATCAGCCTGGTAAGAGGAAATCCGAATTGCCTTCTGGAATCTAATGGATTGAACAAAAACAGAACTAGATGAGCTAAATTCTTGGTCGACCCTTGAAACTAAGAGACTTAATCTCCCAAAGATGCGCAGTTGTGTCTCCCTCCTGGTTGCTTTTGAAGATTAAGGTTCACTCACTAAGCATCACACGTTCAGTAAGTGCAACCAAACATAAAGTGCTTTCCAGAACCTGGAAAAGATGATCTCTTAAATGGGCTCAAAATATTGTTGTTGGTTTTGGTTATAGGGAGAAAACTGAAATGATTCACGTTTTAACAATTCCTTTCTTGAGTTCAGAATGTCTCGCTTATATTTACCAAATTATCCAGTGAGGGGATACATCTTGGAAAGCTAATAAAAACCTGTCATCACTAAATTACGTTGTGCAACCTGAACGGAATGTAACATTTTCCCATTCATTTTATACGTAATTATAACTTTCTTTTCATAATAATTTGGGTTGAAAGTATCTTTATGTAGATCACCATTACCTTGACAATGGTCTTTGAAAAGAAGTCAGTGCCATTATCTACACCAGTCTTCTACACTAACCCATTTTACATTCACGTAGCTGTAATAATAATGCTTACCAGCATCCCCCCACCTCACCGACAATATAATCAGAAAAAAGAGAATGCTTTGGTTCTGACACCACTCGGCATCAAGATGCTTCACTCCTTAGTCTTCGAATTTACATCACAAAATTGGGCGTGAGCTACACAATAAGCTGAGCAATACTTTTATTGGCTGGCAATGCTCTGGAAAACCCGCGGTAGTCACCGGGAGCGCAATTCCAGCTACTCCATCTCGCCCCTGGCAACAGATATGTGGGGAAAGGTAGCAGACATTTGTGAAGGTCACACAAGCAAGTTCATGATCAAAACCAATTGACCTGATACACAAGAAACTTGGACATCTTGTAATTTTAATATTTTAAGAATCCCAAGACTTTTATTTTAGACTACTTGGAAAGGGCATCCGACTGGGAAGTTGGGGTTAGTTGCTAAAGGGGCGGGGTCTCTTTCTCCAAGCTGTTCTCTGCCTCTGTCACCTGCTCTCGGGACCTGTTGCCTCCTTCGGGCAGCTGGGTGTGCTCAGCCCCGAAGGTTTGTGAGCCATGGGGTCCATTCTTGGGACCTATGCAACTTGGCTAACTCTTAAGTCTTTTCTTATTATTATCACGGAAGTCATAAAAATGATGGGACAGCTCAAAAGAACAAGGTCAGTAAACACCTTCCTCAGCTACAGAGGTATGTATTTTACATTTTAAATGCCTAATTGGTTTGCTTTTTCTTCCCTTATCTCTTCTGTATTTCCTTTATTTGGAGAGAAACCACCTTGTTTTTCTCCAAAGCCAACAAGTGTTTCCTGCGTAGAATTCCCTGTAAATTCTCTATAGAATTTTCTTGGTAGTTCAGAAAAAAAAAAAGTATTGCAGATTTAGATCAACATATAACCTACGTGCTGTTCTTGAACACATCTCTATTCACACTTTGACTTCAGGCTGTGTCTAACGTAATTAGACAAGGACACATCCCCTTGTGGAAACAGAGGCACGCATCGAGAGTGCACCCACGCGCCAGAGCATTTTTCCCACAGGCTGCGTGTGCAGGCGGGGCCTTGTGGGGCCTGGGAGCCTTGCTGATGCTGTGATTCTGCCCTTTTTTTTTGAAGGCGGGCATCATTTCTCCAGAAGACTATTCCAACAGTGTATGTGCTTTCACATTAGGGAAATGTTTGCAGACCTCAAATCAAAGGAAAGGCGACATCCTCGCCGAAGGGGAGAGCAGAGGTGGTGCCCGGGGATCTGTGATGCTTCTCTGCCTCCAGCCTTGCAGCAGGCCTGAAAGGCCCATCTCCCTGCAGTCACCACCTCCCCGCAACCCTGATTTTAAACCCTTGGTTCTAGAAGGTTCGTAGGCAGTATTTGGACCCAGATCACAACCGGCAATTTCCAACGAAACCGATCAAAGCAGAGCAATCTCGAACACAACAGTGAACGAGAGAAACTTTGAGAGATCCAAGTTCCCATCAACCCGACGGTGAATGAAGTGCATTTCAGTATTGGGAGTAAAGCATCACAGGGAAAATAAAGGTGAGGGGTGGTTTACAAGACGTTCCGAGACGGACTCCTCTCTCTCAGCCAGGAATGGAGCTAGGGGGTGCCGTGCTAAGTAGCTGGATTTATGAAGAGTAAGAGAACACAGCTGCTCAGTATGGCCTTATAGGGTAGCTGTTAGTTAAACCAAGAAAAGACTCCTGAAATTCAATTTAAAACACATTCTCCAAACAGACTAGAACAAGAAGTTCCAGAAGATGGAAAAACCTTCTCATCGGGTCCCCCCACATTCTACGGTGAGAGGAATCCCATCCCTCGGGCCTGGCACGAGTCGATGCCACGTCCTTATTAACACCAGCCGCTGCCTTACCTGGAGGGACGTCTGAGCGGTCAGGCCGATCATGTCGCCGCTCTCCTGATGCAGCTGGCTTCTAGCAGGCAGTGTAGCCTGAGTTAGCACTGATTCCGTCAGTGAGCTGTGAGGTCTAGAGAAATCAGCGGCATCTGTCAAGTTTTCAGGAGGGGCTTGAATTGGAAGAGCTCCACCAACCGAATCCTGACGACTGTCTGAATCCGAGGAGAATGAGCAGTGGTTTTCCGGACCGAGAGGATGAACGTCTTCTCCAGTGAGTTCAGGATCAGAGTCACAAAAAGAGATGTCACCACAGACGGGGTTCCGCATCAGAGGCCAGGCATCTGAAAACTCGCCACAGGTGGACCTTGAAAGGGACCCGAAGAAAGTGGGCATGGTCTCCCCCACCGGACCTGCGTGTCTGAACACACATTCAAAAGGTCTGTAACTCTGTAGGGAGGAAAAAACACCACTACCGGGCAATACGCCGTCTCTGCTTTTAAGTTTTCTGGATGGAACGGCAACCGATGACGTCAGACTTCTAGTGTTTCCTTTGCCATAAACTTGCTTCAATGAACTTACTTTATAACGCTGAAGTTTCATACCTACTGGTAATCAAGATCGTTATTCTTAACCCGATGTCTAAAATATGGTTTCCTGGGCTTAACTGAGTTTCTTGATGGCTATTCTAAAATTCTAGGGGTAAATGACATGCTAACTGTTACTTACGGATGACAGAAGTGTCACAGATCACGGACAGGAGAAAAAAATGAAATGAATGGAGCATAACGTGTGAAGGACACGGCACTGGGCATCAGTAGCCTTGAGAGACTTACTTATCTGTTGCCAAAGATTTGTCCCTCTCTGATGTCCAGAATGTCACGAATAACCTGCTTTAAATGATCTCTCATAGTTTCGCGGGAAAACTGGCAAATTAGTAGAGCGCATATTTGCACAAGGGGATATAGAATCACGCGGATTAAAAATACCGAGTTACCTCTCCTGAAGAGTGGTCTTGGAATGCACTCTACAGCCCAGAGTCACCCGGTCGATGCTGCAGGCCTCGTCACAGCACAGGGACGGAATCAAGTGAACCGGCCCTGGGAAAGTCAGTGGAGGCGTGAGACACGAGGTGTTCTTCTGACAACTTTAATACCAGTTCGACGTTGCTGTGGGAAATCCAGCCATTTCCCCCCTTGGGTGACTTTTTTTGGAGAAAGGAAATGCGAGGTTTCATTCTCTCCCTCTTTTGTTACCTTACAAAAATGAGCAAGCACTTCTGTGAAGTACCTGGAGGGGCAGCCAAAGCCAGAGAGCCCGGAAGTGGCATGGGGGGGCGCCTGGGGCCGGGG